TAAAACCACTTCTAAAAAAAAGACAAACCAAACAAATTTTTGTATTTTTTATCTCAAAAACTATTCTATAAACACAAACCAAACACACTCCAAATCTTTAGTTAAGTTTTAAATAAAAAAATAAATAGTTTGATAAATAAATAAAGAAGTTAAAAATTTATTAATTTTATATGCTTTTATTGTTAATTTTTTTGGAAGAGAATAATTTTAAAAAAATCAAAAATAATTTTTTGATGCTTACTTTTACCAAATTATATTATATATTTTTTTAAAAAAATTGTAAATAAATTTTAAAAATTCAATCAAACATATTGGACTATAAAAGGAGTTAAACTATTTGTATTTGACTTTTTAAAAGTTTATTACAGATAAATTTGTTTGGTAAACATGTGAAACGAACGAAAAAACAAGGGTTAGCTTTTTGATTTTTTGGCTTTTTTGGCTATTTAATATTCCAGTCCATCATACATTCAAGCAAAGTATCACAAAGAACTTCTTTTGTGTGTGGATGATAGAACATAAGTAAACCTAAAATGTAATATTCATGAACAGTATTAATAACATGCAAATTGAACTAAATAAGATAGATCTTTTAAATGATTTGCAAATTTACTAATATATATATATATCTCAAAATGCAACTTTGTAATGCCCATGAATCATCAATAAAATGTGCGGTGACAGCCATGAATCATTTCTTTTGATTGCTAGCAGTCCACATATTAGTTGTGATTGCCACCCTACTTTTATTATGCTCCAGCAAACTCAATGTTTTCACCCTCTCATAATCATAAAATTTTAAAATATCGCTCTTTATCATATTTCGAGAAGGTACTTTAAACAATGGTTGAAGTGCTGCTAAGTATCGTTTAAAACCAACATGATTTACGATAGAGGGGATATTCATGCAATATTATGGCATGTGACAACTTTTTCCTAGCAAAATCTTGATAAAAAATATAAGAATTCATTTTTGGACTCTCTCTATTAAAGTTGTTAGTTAAAACTTTTTGCCTAATGTTCATCACTTTTTTCCTAGTACAACTCTTATAGTGATCATGCAAATGCCTAGTTCCATTTTTTGAATCACTTTCAAGATGCTTATTATAATAATTACGTATTGCCTTTCACACCTCATTTACTTGTGGTTTCTTAAAGTGTTCCCACACAACACTAGGTTTTCTTTTAGTTCCTCCACAAGTATTAGACTCTTCTTCTAAATCAATAACATTTTGATTAGAGAGGGGAGATGGTGAGTTCGTAGGTGAGTTGGTAGCTGGGGATGATTGTTGTGACACCTCGCTCTTAAATAGTACTTGAGAGTTAACTGGTACTTCAGAGTTAACATCTGACATTTTTTACTTTTATAAAAATAATATGGATTGAATTAATGTTAAAAGAGGCAACATAAAATTGGTCCTTAAACAACAAATCATTAACCAATACTAAATTTAGCCACCATGCAGGAATTCTAAATATGCCATATGCCAAAATTAGTATATAATCCAAACAAAATGGCAAAACTTAAACTTTGTCAAACCATCACCCAAAATCCAACAAAAAGTTTCACCCTTTAGCCAATAAATATGACAAATATTCAGTCGTCAAGCTAGTGAAATCATATCATAAACATTTAGATCCCACTAGTGATTGCATGAAAAAAATAAAACAAATTATTTTTTTAAGAAAAATACACAAACAAAAAAATTAAAATCATAAGATGTAGAGTGTTACCTTCAAAAGAAGAATATATAACTCGTTTTTTAATCTCTCTGACCACCACATTACTACCAAAGCAGTTAAATTTTTTGAACTTGAAACTGAGAAACAAATTAACTAAACATTTGAAAATATCAAAGAAACAATTAATAACTAAGCTAATGGAATCATCAATATTCATTCACCTAGAACTACAGATAGAAAAATAAAAACAACTAAGGAGACTATAGAAGTAATTGTTACTCAATAAAAAAAAAAAAAATGAGTTTCTGTTTTTTGTTTTCTTTCTCTGTTTCTTTTCTAAGATGAGTTTTTGATTTTGTCATGATTATTGTTACTTTAATTTAAGTTGCTTTATTTTCCACAAAACATGAAAATTATGGAAATCTAGAAAGTTAGAATTTCAAATTCTCATGGTTTGTTAAATTTTGTTGTTTTAAACTTAAAATTCTTAAATTTTGTGTCAAATTACCCCCTCAAACTATCATATTCAGCCTCAGATCATAATTAAAAAAAAAAACAGATATATAAAATAAATAACTAGATATATATCATCAATGACATATATATTTAAAATAAACAGATCAATAATTAAAAAAA